TTCGTAAATTTATCCTGCTTATAATTATTGTGCATCTAATTACCGTAAAATATGTTAATGTTTTTTTGTGACGTACTTTTGTTACTGGTGTTGTGTATTTTTCGTAAGAATAATTTATTTATCAATGATGTAGTTGAGAAAATTATTGTTGACTAATGTTTGTTTTAGTTCACTTATAAATATTCTTTAGGAAGAAGAATTTTGGTATGCTCTATCTAGTATTTTATTATTGCTAATTTATATCTTTCAGGGTATTAACTATCAGAAAGGTTGATGCCCAAATATACATTCTAGGGTAGGTCATTTTACACTTCCCCCCCCCCCCAAGTCAACTTTAGACAAGTCTAGATAGTTGGGACTTAATGAGATAAAAACTCATACTAAATTTTATATTCCTAGCTTTAAACCCATTTTGAAGAAATGCAATCAAAAATTGAATTTAAAAATGTATTTAAAAAGCCATTCATTTTTGTAATATTTGATTGAAAAATGTTATTATTTCAATAGTAAATAAAAAAAGTTTGCTATTTTAATAAATAAATTTTATATTATATGAAAACTAATTCAATCCAAATACTTATATCATCAAAATTTTCAGTGTAAGAGCCTTTAAAACAAAGGCTTAGTTGACAACATAAGGTTTCTGCAAAAATGTGTTTCACTGCACTTTCAACACTCTGAGAATGTGATGGAAAATATCCCCGCCCTTACCTTGTAATTTTTTATCATTTCTCAGTTGTGTCTGTCTTCAGGTAGAGGGCAACTCAGTTGTGGCTCCATCAGAGGACAGAGGTGCAACTGAGGAAAATCACAGTGAGGTGCCCAGCCCTGGAGAACAGATGCCAAGGCCATACCCTCTCATAGCAATAGAGAGAGAGATCTGTGCTTGCACTGAGGCCAGTGCAATCGACGGTTGTGGGGGCTCAGGGAATTTCTGTTCTTGGCCTAAGTGTACGCAGTCAAGTCCCCCACATTAAACCCAACCTTATATAAAATCCCATCTCAGTAGGGAGCCAGGGTAAATATTTATACACATACACAGAGCCATTTTGGACCTCTGTGGGTTCTCCCCAAACGGGAGTTCCACCTGGAGTGGTGGGAGGAGAATATTTTTGTGTGGAGTGGACACTGTTGTGGCATGTGCTCTGCACTAAAGCCTCTCCTCTCCCTCTCCTGACTTGCTAAGACCGGAATTAGACCAGTAACATGAGTGGAAACATTCTGGTTCCCCACATTAAAAATGACCTTGTATCACATCCTTGTTCCAGTGGGGGTTCAAGTTAAATACTGGCTATCTTCCCCCATGTTGCTGATCCTATTACCACAATAGTAATGATTGTCTCCCTGTCCAAAATGGTTGCCTGAAGGAAGTGACTTCCACCTTTTGGCGTTGAGGTCCTCTCTTCCTGTTTTGCACATGTTTGCTTCCTTTTACTCTTTTCACCTCTTCCTTCTTGGAAAGATGCAGACCTTGCCTTTCATTCTTCTCTGCTTACTCTCTTTCTCTCTCGGGAAGATGCAGTGAATCTGCATTTCCTTTGCCTGTGCTATCATGACTGGTTATTTAGCAACCACATCACATTTCGGCATCCCTTTTCATCAGCACATCGCCATACTGAATTCAACTTAGCAAAATGACATTTTGATTTGGTTTCCCGCCAAATTTCTGCATTTATGTAATAACATGCCATGTGAGTCATATTCTTCATTCAAAATGCTGCTATTTTTGGATTTTTCTCACCAGACCCAAGTTACTTCATTCAAGTGATCTCATTTGAGCTTAATTTCTCCTTTCATCAAAGAGCATAACACATGAACGTTTCCAAAGACTTACCACTTGCATTTCTTTTTGCTTGACTACTAATTTAACCACATTTGCATATCTACACACTCACACTTTAGAACATTTTTTTACGTGTTTTTAATATTTCACCCTTTGTTGTAACTCAGTTTTTGGTGTCAATATTTTCCTCTATATTCTTTATATTAACAAATAAAAACAGCAACTCCTCTGTGAGCTGCTACATAACTACTCTATGAGTCAGGTATTTTCCAGTCTCAATTCCTGTTTTTTGTGTAAATATTAAATGGTGTCTGGGCCTCTTTTTTCTTTTTTTTTTTGCTAGTTTAATGTTACCATTTCCCCCTATAACTTATTTAATTCTTTATACAACAAAGTTTCTTTATTAATCTTGCCATCAACTCCTCCTAAACAGACAAGCTTTTTATTACCTTCAGAATTCAGTGTCTTCCATTCTGTGTCATTACTTTTATTTTAGCCTTTTCTCTATTTTCGACTTATGAATTATAATGTTAAAATCAAAACCTGCATTTAAAAGGCCCATAGCCTGTAGCATAAATCCAAGAGAAAGGCATTCACAAGAGATGCTCCAAGACCAAGATCATTAAGAAACATCTCCCCAATCTTGCTATTTTCTTCAGACATTTTAATAAAATGTGTTCTAGGAAATAATAATAAATTAAACTACACTGTCAATTTATATTTTACTTAAAAAAATTACAATTCATATCTTTTTTACCATATATTTCTTAAAAGCTTCCTAAATAAAAACAAAACGCATGCTATATAGGTACCTCCATTTTTTTGCAGGAAAACAGCATAGTGTAATGAAAAAAACCACAAACTTAATAAAAATAAAGTATTATCGTCAAAATGTTTATGTTATCATTAAGATGAAAGACCAAAGTATTTTTTAATTATTTTTTTAATTTTTTAATCCTTTTTAAAACGTTTGAAATTTTAGTTAAAATTTCGTTTCATGTTACCCCCCACCCACTCCACTGACTTAATTTCATAGAATTTCGCAAAAAACCTTTCTATTTTTTTTATTCATCAAAAGTAGTACTCGTTGGAGAATCTAAATCGCCTAATCTTTTTTTCAAACTTGCACTATTCTAACTGAAAATCTGCTCTGAATTGAAAAATAATGAATGCAATAAAACTATGACATTATTTAATTAGAAAAGCTTTTAATTGCTTTTGTATATTAAGGACAATATTTTCTGAAGAAATAAAATTTTTCTGATGAATAATGAATTTTTACAAGAATTTTTTTCATTTTTTTTTAAAATTTGAATTATATTAATTTATAATAGTTTAAAATTGTGTAAAATTCTGTATTAGGCTATTTCCTGGATGTGATATCATAATCAAGTGGAAATTAAATTTATGAATCCAAAATTGAAAAGATTAATAAACATAGTTATGCTATGCTATTTTTAAAATAATTTTTTATTTCTTATTTTTTTTTTTACTTAATTTGTTCCCTGTTTTCATCTATGAAAGTCTAAAGGTGACATTATTATGAAACAGTTATATGATCTAAGAGTTTTGCCTCTTTACAGAATTAATTTAAGAAAATTTTATAGTATTTAAAATTCTTTTATTTTGGCATAATGCATCTTCAATAGATAAATAAAAGTCAATAAATTATTAGATAATTGTAGAAAATATGTTCATTTGTAAAACTTACTAGGTAGTTAAAAACAAAAAAAAAAAAAAAGTGTTCACATAGATTTCTTAAATTTTGTATCAATTCTAGCCAGCCATACTAGCTGTCATCACTTTGTCACTCAATCGGCCATCCATTATTGCCTCAGATAATATGGATGCTACTACTAATAATACTGGTGTTTTCATTTAGTTTGCAGACATGTTGCAAGATCCAACATGCTTAATAATGCAAAATAATAAAAGGAATACAATACATTCCATTCTTTGCTTTTTTCTTTTGCACAATGTTTTGACCATTGTATATGTTGGCTTTCCTCAGATGTTTGTCATATCTAATTAACTTTCAAGGAAACTATTATCAATTGGAAATATATCGTTCCTATTGACATTTACCTATCACATCCATTATTAATTCCAGGGAATTTCAGAATAAACAACTGATGCCAATCTCTCTTTAGTGAGCCAATGTATATTTCTGCACTACCTAACAGAGACTGAACAGTCAACTTTTTGAAATTCAGATGGGCTTTACATTTATTCACTAGGCTATGCCTGTGGAAGAGACATTTTGGAGCCTTAAGTTTAACATCTGCTCTTTCCTAATTAGATGTTCCCATATGGTGTTTATGCTTCTATTTAGCCTCTTTCAAAATGTCTTCTTTTCTAAGGTTGTTTTGTTTGATTTCATTCCATACATTATTTTTCCTCCTCACATAATCAGTCATATCTGAGTACAAAAACTCTTTGATGTTCCTGAAGCCTGATATTTAGAAGACTACAGCTTCCACCTTTACACTCACTACATGGAATTTTATACATACATTTCTTAGTTATGTTTTCTTCCTGTGAAAATTTTACTTTAATAAAATGTCTGTAGAGAGTGGAAATACTTTTTAATACTGTTCTGATGTTGCACAGACCATAAATCCAATGGACCTTCTCTAACATGTTTCTGATGTAAGTGATGAATTATGTGGAAATATACACAGAATAAGGAGGTGGATTGGTGTTAAAGAGAAGAATTGATGGCAATGTTTTGAAATTTCCCATGAAGGAATAAGAATTGTATAACCACATAAATCAAATAACATACTCCTGTATGATATTCATGAAATGTCATGGACAACTGAGGAAAGTCAACAAGTTGCCAAAATAATGTATAATAGTAACACAGAAATATAAACAAATTTTAATTGATTAAACAGTTCCTTCAGAGTTTAAAAACATACAAGTAAATTTGCATATTTGCTTACAAAATTGAGATTAAATACATGAGAACATATAATTAAAGTATTACATAAATTTTGTTATTGAAATATAAAACCTGACTTTACTGAAAAATGAAGCAAGTAATATTCTGATTAATTTCAGTTTCATAAAATATCATTGTAAATTTATTATTTGCTAAATAAATTTGGATATTTAAACATTTATTATTTTTAAATGAATAACTTTAATTTGGTATTTTTAAAATAGTGATATCATTATTAATTTGCAGTTAAAAATAAATATCTATTCAGCTTACCTGATATCTTGACCAACAGAAGGAGGCTTTGTAATGCTAATTTCTACTTCTTCTTTACCATCATCAGTCTGTTGAAGAAGAACAGTATCTTCAACTTGTATGACTGCATCAGCACCTATTGGTACAGGAGCACCAGTTGCAATTCGCATACAATAGCCTGACTGGACACGAGTCTGAGGCTGAAAATATATGGTCAAATAAAACAAAGTATTTCTTAACAAGAAAACATTCAAGAAAGAATTAAATATTTGACAGTAAAGAAATCATAATCATGAAAATTTTTTTTGATTGCTTTTGACAAATAAAAAGAAAATTTGGAGACATGCTTTCAAAATCAAAGAATCCTTTAATAGGTACATTAAGAAATTGTTTGAGAAATACATACCAAAATATCTTTTATTTATTATTTATAATTGAAAAAAAAAAAAAATTAATTTATTTTTATTTGAAGAATTTTACTCAGTTATGTAATTCATTTTTCTCTATTGTTATGAATAGAATAAAAATAAAAAAAAAAAAATAAAAAAAAATACATGTAGTGGAAATTATACTATAATTCAAATTAAAATTATTAACTTAGCACAAAAACAATGAATATAATCAGAGATAATACTATTAGAAAAAAATGTAAAAACACTAAAAAATAATAATTATAAGAATATTACAAACATTTTTTTAGGTATATGTATTTTTTCAATTTTTTTTTCCACTTAGTCATTCATTTGTCTAATTTTATTTCAGGTAAATATCTCATAACAATAGTTACATAGAAATTCATTGATTAAAAAAGAATTCATTTTGAAAAAATCATTTTTATTATCAAATGCCAAAATGGCACTTGTGATCATCATAAAAAAAGTGGTTCTCCATGAAAAGACAAGTTTTACAAATGTTTTCAGCATATGAAGTGATATCAGAAAGTTCCCAGACTAAATATTATGATTCTACCATTCAATAGTTAATGCTCATTGATACCCAGCCTACTGAGTTGATGACCAACAAATTCAAGTAACATGCTTGTATAATACAATAACAGGTACTTGTATAATATAATGTAATGAATTATCAAGAGGACTTCAGGAAGACTACCAGTTTTCCCCCATAATCGAAATAGGAGGTTTTTGGGGTTTTCTTTTTTTTAAAAAACTAGTTTTCTTTAATGCATCTAATGAAACAATAAGATATAAAAATCAGTTGAGGAAACTGACTTTATTCAATAACTGATGTTAGTGTTTGTAAACCAGTGGATTTGAAATCAGAATAACTAAGAGAAAATCCATTAAAGCCAAGTAACATTTGAACATTCAGACCACCTGGCCATTCCTCTTCCCGTACACTAGACTCAAGGTTTGACATACATGGGCCTGACAGTGTATTTAATTAGAAAATTAATTTCTCAAAACAATGTTAATGGGATTAAATGTCAAATACTATTCAGCTCTCTATTTCTCACATAATTGAAATCAATTATAGTCTTGTAGGAGTTCCTCATGCAAAGTCTGAATATGTATCACATTGCTACAGATATTGTTCTTTAGCTCTTAGAACTTAACCAAAAGTAATGGCCCCTTGACATGTACCTTGAGATTCATGTATCTGAAGCTGAAGGTGTAGCACTTTGAGATTGCAAATATAATACAAATGAAATTGCAGGCAGAAGAGGACGTCTACAGAACTTTTGTGGCATAGAAGTGCTGGGATTACTGCATATGCTCCCAAAAAGGATGATGGCCAAATTTAAATTATATATAAAATATGTTATTTACTGGAGTAATCATAATTATTTTCAGTTGTAGTCTAGAAACTTTCTGATACAACCTAGTATAACTATAAGATTTCATTTCTTAATATAAAGATGCTATTTTGAATGGATTATCCTTGTAATCAATTTTAAAGAACTGTACTATATAAGCAACCAAACTGTGAAATGGCAACACAAAAATGCATGCAACTAATTATAAGTAATTACAAAATATTAAACTAACCAATGTAAACATTAATACAGAAAGCATTTTCTATTCATTCTCATCTACACTATTTATATTTTGACTATCATTCACAGCTTTGTTGTTGCTATCACATTTCAGCCTTCATCGGGTGTATATCAAACCAGGTAACCTATAGGGAATTCCAAATAGAACCCTTTATTTAATCTACAGGGGTAGACTCTGCTTGTGCCATTGCCTATATCTAGGGATATCTCATCTAGTTTTTATTTTTAGTAGTGTTTAGTTATTGCTCGCCCTATTTACACTTGGCTCAGGGATTGAACTCATATGCATAAAAGCAGCACTCATCAGCAGGCAGGTTTAAGGCTTAAAGTTATCCCAGTCAATAACAAAGTTCAAGTAAATTTTAGAAAATATCTTTAAATTTTTTTCATCAAAATGAAAGCACAGCTTAATAACATACTTACTATATTTCCAGCAGTAGTTTGTCCAATAACATGTCTATTTTTAGTACCGTCTTTGGCTGAGAATAGGAAAATACAACAATTTATGTCAATACAAGTTATGAAGAAAACAATCATTATTATTGAAATCTACATGATTTTAAAGAAATTCCCTTTTAATGCAATGCAAATCAAAATAATAATAATGTTAATAACTAGTATTTATATTTTACACTATGAAAAGTATAACAGTAACACCCCTATAACAGTAATTATATATATATTACATAAAAATGTAACTCAATTGTATCCCATTTTTATAGCCATTTCACTCCCAGAAGAAATTCCCTGGAGCTTGTCAATACTAAAATATTTGATAAAAAAATGAATCGTAACGTTTTTTTTTTTTAAATTTTAAATTAAAAAAGTAATAGTGATAGACCTGAGTATCACGTTACTGGAATAAACCAGCCAGTGGATTTATTAGCTAGCTTCTTGTCCTTCAAAATAGAACCACCTTTCCACATTTTTTACTGATTATATGCCTAAAGATGTCTGCAGAATGGTTCAGCCAATACACTGTGGTAGTAAAATCAGCAACACAACAAGTGTATCCACATGTTGAAGCAAATCTTACAATTGACTTTTCTGAATTGTAGACAATATGTATATATAAAGGGTGCTATGGATAAATTGTTACACAAAAATGAAAATAACACTGACATCTCATTTTAACAGATATATTTACCAAAATTACACAAAAATATCTTGAAGTAGATAAAATAAATAAAATCACCATTGGCGTCAACCACAGCCTCCAAACAACAATCTCCTGCAACTCTTCTGGACAAGTCTCCTAGTTTAAGTTGATGAATACTGCCATAATCCTTGCCTTCAATTTATCTTTGATGTTAAATGAGTTTTGTTGGTCTCTTGCTCAACTGCACCCCACACATAATAATCAAGGGGGTTGCAGTCTGGGTAGTTAGGTATCCAGATGTAAGAGGCGATGCGGTTGCAGAAATTGTCTGAATGCCATCACTGGGTTCTCCTGCGTATGTGGCATGGTTAAGAGTCCTGTTGCTAGACATACGGTCTTCCAGCAGCTACCCTCTTGACTCAGGACAGCACTACCTCTGCAAGGTACTTGTGCTGAGACTGAGGGGAAGATGAATGGAGGCATAACGATCAGAGTGATTTTTCTTTGTAATCACCATTAGACTCATCCAAAACTTTCCAAATCCACCACAATATCACCCAAACATTCTGAAATGTTCATATTGGAGCTTCCGACAAAAATGCCAAGCAGTACAGCATGCCATTTCCAAATTTCTGGTAGAGTGAATTGCATGATGGGACTCTTTTTCTCACAGATGGAGCCCAACTCACCCTACTATACTGTGCAGTTGACAAAATCAAAAACAATGAGCATGGATGAAATTAAAAATATAAAATGGCAACAATTTACCCATCACACTCTGTATATATGTAAATATTCAATTAAAGGCAAAAACAGCAACTTACATAACACAGCATACCCATCTTTAATAGAAGCAGGAAATGGAGGCAAAGGTTCTTTTGCAAATACATCTTCAGCTAAATAACGTCCAAGACAATCTTAAAAAATAAAAAGGTGCACTCTGGATTAAAATACATTTCAAAATTATCAAAATTCTTTTAAATTTATTATAAGGTCTAAATAAATTTTGTCTCCAAAAGAAATTCAACTATGTATTTAAAAGGATGCATTTTGTTACATCTAAAAAATAATTGTAAGTTTGCACTATGAATGTAAATTAATATCAGTTATATGTTCCACATTACAATTCTGCTTTAGCTGAATATAAATTTATGATTCAGTCACAATATTCTGAAAGATAATTCACTTTTTTTTATTCAGTCATACTGTTTTGTATTATCATTTTAAGTGGAAGATTAATTGATTTGTTTTTTATGGATTATCAACCCTTTGTGGGTTGTTTAAAGCCAAAACATTTTGGATTCTAAGAATAATTCTTTTTTTTGTTGTTGTTGTTGTTGTGAGTGAATATTAGAATAACAATTTTTCAAGATACAAATCCTACTATTTAACTCAAAAAATGAACATACATGATGAAAAAATGTCCCAGACTTAAAAAAAAAAAAACAAAAAAAAAGTTTTATCAAAATCTTTGTTATTATTAAGAGGAAAGAGCAAAGTATTTTTTTTTATTATTAAATTATATTATTTACATTTTTATAATCAATTTGCAATAAATACCAAAACAATTTATTGATATTTAACAATAGATTTTTAGATTTTGGAGGTGTTTCTTCAAACAATTTTCTGATGCAACTGTTTTATACAGTGTCAACAACATTTCAAATACAAATAACTCCAATTCTATAAAACAGATAAATTTTATATCAGAATTATCTCCAATCTTTCATGTTAATATTTCATTAAGTGATTCTGTATCAAAACTGAGACAAACTCAACAATACCACATACAGTTTGTAATATAAACACTATCAGCACAATTCACATCATTAACTTACAAAAAGTGCTAATTCCTTTCATAAACTATTATTTTCCACTTCCCAACATATTCTGTTGACCACATGCTATAATTGATGAAGACAAATACCATGTCTTCTTGTCTTCTTCTAGTGCTTGCCTCCTCATGTTATAAAAATAGGTTATCCAAAAGTCATAACCCACCACTATTTCTATAATCTACAGCACAAATATTGAAGAACACAGTGTCTGAAACCCACAATGATACACTTTTAAAAATAGATAATATAGTTCCTAAAAAAAATGACACCACACAGCAGTTAATTCAAGAACCACACCTACAAGCTTGTATAAAACCCACCTACTCTTCAATTGTCAAATTAGGACAATAACAAGAAGCTGCTACAGAGGTATGGCTTTACAGATCGACTAAAGCAAACAAGGACTTTACAGATTGACTGAAACAGAATTAAAATTTAACCTGGAGCAACAGCAATATTCCAAAAAAGAAAAAGAAAAAAAAAATTATATGAAGTGTGAACAATTATCAGTTGCTGAATATTTGAAATTTTACAATTGGACATATTCTGAAATTTTTAATGAAAAACATTAGTCTGACTTACATAAATCTAAATTATTATGTCTACTTAGGAAAAAAAAAACAAATAAGATACTTTAAAATCAAAAGTTAATTGACAAATTCATTCAGCAACCATATTACAATGTATTTTGCAATAAACAAATACCAAAATTAAAGCAATGGTCTGTACAGAAATTTATATGTCAGATTCTAACATACAGGCTGTTTTCTTGATAAAAGCGGTATTAACCAATTGATGTTGGTACAACTTCCAAGATATACTTTTATTTATATGTGTAAAATATAGTATGGATCCCAGCATACAAATTCTTTACTCTATTCTTATTAAAATTATCGATAACTTTTTGGTGGTGTACTGTTTTACTAACATAAATTTTTCTTTATAAATAGATCCAAGATATAAGTTATAGAAATATGTTAATAACACAATATCCTATATGCCTGAATAAATTATTTTACATGTTCATATGGGTTTGTTGACATTCTATAACCATTATCTGTTATCAATGATTTTATTAACCTATGTTCTTTCAACTTTAACATTACTTGTAACAGTTTTTATTGCTTCCCAGAGATCTTCTTTGCTTGAATATTGTCTTCTATTCTCATATACACCTCTCTTAATGATGGGTTACAAGTTTTCTATTGGATTAATATGTAGAGAGGCTGGAGTAAGACATTCCATTAATTTAATTCCTTTGAAACTTTTCTTTTGAAGATGAACAATAATCATCTTTACAGAATGTGAAGGAGCATTATCTTGCTTGAATATACCTTCCAGATTAAACCTTCTTGATTTTGATCTGTAGCACTTGACACATATCAAATCCAAAAGATTATAATAATTCTCTGCATTTATCTTGATACAATCATCAACTCAGAAGTTTGACTGATAATTTTACTACCTAAAATACTAACCCAAAACATTACTATCTCTCTGCTATTGTCTTCTAAGCCATGTTGGTTAACTATTTCTATGTAGAACCCAACCTCTAAGCCTAGCTATCAATCCATCCATTCTAACTATACATTCATCACTAAGAATTACTGGTAAGAAACCAGCTTTCATGTACTTCATCCAATCTTTCTCTTTGTTTATTTAAAAAGATGAGAATTGTTTTAAGTTTTTTCACTAATGTTCTTAATATTTTTCATCTTTTCTGTTTACAAGAATGTCAAGTCACTTTCTTCCAACAATTCTAATGCGTAAATACAATTTATTTTCATCAGTTACAGTAACAACAAAAACTACATAAGACAAAGGAAAAGTATAAAAATGCCTCACCAGAATATTTGAGGATTTCTGTTTCCAACATAGGAGTTTCTCTGAGAACAATGCTGACTGCATCCTCAACAGTAATCATTTTATATGGTGACTGACGTGCCCTATAGGCTACACGGCTAGCATCCACCTGACCTACAAAAATAGAACATTTTCATGTAGGTAAAATTTTCAATATATTTTCACATTAAGTTTGTATGTATATATTTTCAATATATTTTCACATTAAGTTTGTATGTATATATGCACAATTATATGTGTCTACATATGTTGATACAAAAGTTTCACAAATTCTTTAACAAAATATTTTTTTTTCATATATATTCTTAACATCAGTCAACAATATATTTTTCTTGTCTTTCCCATTATCTTATATCAATTATATCCATTAATTCAAATATGGAATTTCCTTTGTTGAACAAATAGAACTTTTTTCCCTATTCTATTTAGGTGAAAATGTTGAAGTCACAAATTTCTTTCAACTAAACTCCTATCAACTAATTTTTCATACCCAGTGACTACCTTCTCCAAAAATGAGATTTTCCCTGTGAAGAACAGAAAAAAAGTATTAAACATTTAATTATATTCTTTTTCATAAGTCAATGTGGAAAACATTTTCCTAGCATTTTTAGGAAGCAAGAAACATTTGTGGAAGTACTTTTAAGAAAAAAGTTGATATCTTCATTGTTTGACGGTTGTAAAGAATGAAGAATCAGAGCAGATTTAGTATATTAGTTTGCATTTCCAGATATCATTAACTGATCAGTATTCTGATCAGTGTCAAATGGCTGGATAGTTAAAGAAAATATTGTCTAAGTTCATGAATGCAAACTAGAAAAATATGAAAATCTGTGACAAGAATACAAGAGATATGTCAGGATAAATAAAATGTCTACAGTAGAAAAGAGAAAATATATAATAAGGATTCAAGATCAGACAAAAGATGCATTAGCATGTATCTAACATTCATAAAATGATATAAAAGCTATTGATTGCTGAGGCATTCTAGTAATTGATAATGATGTTTCAGCTGCCAATCTATTTCTAAACCTAGGGTCATCCTATAACTGCTACTGTTTTCGCTGCAGTAGATATCAGTGGGAAAATAGGAAAAGTTTAACATTCATACCCACAAAAAAAAAAAAAAAAAAAAAAAGAAACGGTGTCTTAAAAGTACATGTATTTTTTTTTCTTTTGACACCACTATTACTGCATAGTACCTTGGCAATTTTTATTGTTTTAAGAATTTTAATAGATGAAACTGGATTTTTACATGTTCTCTTTTTTCTTGAGAATTGACAACAAAAGTATTAAACATTATTCTTGTAAATAGTGTTTAACATTTTTGTTGTCAATTTTTGTGAAATTGATTGACTGATTTGTTGTTTTTTTTACAGCTTATCAACCCTTTGTGAGTTTTTTAAAGATGAAACATATTTTGGATTGTAAGAATAACTCATTTGTTTGCAAGTGAATATTGCGTTAACAATTTCTTTTAGAATAACAATGATTTTGCCAGATACGCCCTACTGTTTAACCCATAGTTGAGGGAAGGAAATACCTTTCCCAAGGGAATTTGCATATAAGTTAATGTAACAAACCCAACAGAGATTTGAACCTAGACTTCAATTTCTCATTCTAAGCTGCTATCATTCTCATTTCTTGAGAAGAAAAAAAAAGTATAAATCCAGATGCTTGCAAACTATTTTAGTGAATTTATGTGATGAGAGCAACTTAAAGAAAATGCATGCTTTCAAAATTTATAATTAGTTACCCATCGTTATCTATTTAATTAATTTTTTTTATTCTTTTGTATGCAGACATTTTTAAAAATTAATGAATAAAAAAAATTGTTTGCATAGTTATTTCTTCATAATATGGTAAATGATAATATTTTTATAAACTTGAAATATAAAATTATACTTATAAATAAACAATAAATGAAATAGTATTTAATCATTTTGTTGTCACTTCTCAATAAAAAAAATAGAATGCATAAATCCAGTTTCATATGTTTGGATGTTATTAAAATTCTAAAAATAACTTTTTAAGTCAATAGAAATTGCCAAAGGAGTATACAGTAATAGTGGTGTCAAGAAAAAAAAAAGTCCTTTTGACACACCATCATTTTTAAGAGAATACATGACTTTTTAATACAGTATAAGGTATTTCTGTTGATTTTTTTTATATCTAGCTAAACAAGGATTAGAAAATGGAAAACATTACCTACTTTCATTTGCACAGTGCATATGAGAAAGGTCTATGTAGTTGTGTAAATTCTGGTTTGATGGTTGTTGCGAGTCATGATAAATGCGGTAGTTATGAGGTGGTGTTGGCTGGTTCACACATAGCTGAAAAAATAAAAAAAAATTTTAAAAATCAGACTTCATAAAATAATTTTGTCTTAATTAAAAATTTAACAAAACTGGAGAAAAAAATCTATAGCAATTTAGTAACAAGTAGTATATTTAAATTGCTTTCAACATAGATTATTGTATATGACAATAACAAAAACAGTGAATTTTCTCCATTGTTGTTAAGGTAGATTGTAATTGAGTTTTTAAAAGTATTAAATTTGAAAAAAAAAAAAAAACAGATTCAAGATGGAGGTCTCACTGATAAAAACAATACTCATTTTTCTGAATATGATTTTGTTTCTATCAGAATAATGAAATTTATAGAAGTATGTTTTTTGAGTTGATGTGTGATTTTAGTTCAAAATTACATTTTTTTTTTCAGTTGTCTAAGCTAAAACTTTGAAATACAGAGTTTTAACTGTGTATCAGCTCTTCATTTTAACCTTATATTAAACCTGAATTTATGTCCAATTCATCAATTTCAATATTACAATCTTATTGTATTGTATATTTTCATTGTTATAATATTTAGCATATGTAAGATTACAAAATATCTTCAATATGAATTATTTTAAAATTCATTAATTTCTAAGTAATAGGGAATCAAAATTCAAATGTTTACCAACATGTCTTCATCAATATTATACTTACTTTATCCTGAATACCAATGTTTGATGGTAATATAATACTGGGACCACTAGACTCTTCCTTGTCATGTTGAATAACTTGGTTCTGAATTTGTTGGTGAGTAGCAATAATTTCTTTTTGATCATCTTTTATCAAACTGACAGCATGTGGAATCACATCAGTGACAAATGTTAAACATTCCTAAGAAGAGAGAAAGCAAGCACTACTTATTTCTAGTCAATGTAAGCAAATCATATGAAAATAAAATTTACTTCAGTTCATATGACTGAAATAATGTTCCGTTTTTTCTTAGGATAAATATAGTAATTGGCTTTGTTTCCAATATAACACCAAACTATTGTGTCAGCTAAAGAGTACTTTAAATGATGTTACAAGCATTTAGCTTTATCTACGTTAAAAAAAAACAATTGCTTTTAATTGTATTATGGTACTTGTTATATTAGCAGGTATTTTTAAAATTTTCTCAAAATAGAATCAATGAATAAAAATAGGCCTAACAGTGAAGACAGAAGAAAATAAGCAACATTTTGGGCATATTATGGTTTTATTTTAAGAAAAGTAAACATACACACTCAGATGTGCATAATTTATGGAGAAGGGGTCGTGAATGATTAAAAGTGTCAAAAAATGAGTTTTTGTGTTGGAGATGTTTTACTGAATAATGCCCCATGTCCAAGTAGACCAAATGAGGCTGATATCAGTCAAATTGACATCATAGCTAATTAAGTGAACAAATATTTTGTCCAACACAATATTAGCAACTTTATACATCTTTTTGATATCATACCTGCATTTGTTAATATATACACTGAAGAACGAAAACATTATAACCAGCCACATATGATAAGAATGATAACTACTGTGTCACAACAACTGCACATGTCAAGGTCAGTGGTATGTGAGCCAGCCTTATGCATTTCATTTTCCTATGTTGAATGCTACAGTTAAAAAAAAAAAAAAAAAAGATTTCCAGTAACTTTCATAAATGGACAAATTTTTATGTCCAAAAGTCTAGGTCTGAACAAAATGATAACTTCTGGAATGCCCATGTACAGTAGTTGTGGTGAACACTTATTAGTTGTAGTTAATAGAAGGAATAAAAATTTTCTCCCTCCCACAACACGGTATTAAATGGTCAAGACTTACTGAAGTGAATGGAGGATTTTCTGCCAATTACAAGCAAACAGAACAGCTACTACAGCACAAATTGCAGATAATTGAAAGTTAAGTGAAGGAAGGAATGTAACACAATAAGAATTCTAGTGACCCAGCTGAATATAGGGCCGCATAGCTACAGATCACTCAAAATACATGTTAACCAAAGCCAATTACCCAAAAATATGTTCAAATGGTATATGAACATTGGAACTCTTGTATCAATAAAAAATCACCTGGCCAATAAGCCTCAATTTCTCTCTGATAAGGTGGACAGCAGTGTATGTGAATGGTTATTATAGGGAAGTAATGGCACCAGGATGCATTATATGAAAATAACAAACCTGTTTGAAAAAATGTGACGTTTTGGAAATCACTGGGTCCTATTATTTATGTGGGCAATGTACAGTTGTATACAACCTACTTAGACATCATTGAAGACCAGGTAAACACCATGGTAACAATCTTTTATGATATCAATGGTAACTTTTATCAGAACAATGTGACTTGTCACACTACACGAGTTGTACAAATACATGAACACTTCACTACATCGTCACCAAATTTACCAAATGTCAATCCCATTGAGCATTTATGAGATGTGTTGGACCAACCTAGTCACCAAATCCTAGAGGAAATCTTTTACAGGTCCATGTATCATCAGGTAAGAACCGTTTTGCAGGCACATCAATGACAAACACCTTATAAGACTAATGGTCCCATTATTTTGCCACATCTCTATTTATAGGTATAAATCTATATTTGTATAGTTAAGTGTGAACTTGTGTGTCTGCATATTTCTTACAAATATATTTTGTTAGATAAAGAAGAAAATAGGTTAAGACCAAATGAAAAAAGGAAATCATTCTCATCAAAGATCTTACAAAATGCTAACATACAAAATTATTTTCTATAAAATCATTTAGTTTTTGAAGTAATTTATCTATTGCAAGTGTTACTTTTTGTTTGAGAAGCAAGATGAAAAATGATAACCTGATGAAGATGCTAAGAGTGGATGAAACTTTACATTTCCATCAATAGTAGCCATTGTTTCTTTTCAATAGTTATCTAGAAGTGGTTCAAATCATATAATCATGCAGTAGTAACTATATTCTACATTTTATAGAAAATAAAGAAAAACTAAATGCAAATAACATGGCATTAAAAAAAAATAACTGAACTTTAAGATAATCAAATCAATAAAGCAATGAATATAAAATTGTTTTTCTTACCTGAGAAGCCTTTTTGCTTCCAGGTAAATTTAAGATTAATGTCTTGCCTCGTATTCCACATACTAATCTGAAAAGAAATACATTATTAAAATATGAAATAAATATACACTCTTCTGAATATTTTGTTCTCAAATAAATTTTCAGAAATTGAATTTAAGAGCAAATTTTAAGTGAAGTGAAAATAAACAATTTGACAAATTTAATAAAAAGGTTTCATGACTTTATGTAATGTCAAACAATTTCTATCATTTTATTACTTCTATTACATCTGATAGACCAGTCAATATTTCTCTACTTATTTATATTCTCAGAGTCAAGACAATGAGAAAAATATAAGCAAAATATACTGTTTTTTTTTCATTCACAATAAAAATGAAAAGTTTATAGTAAGAGATAACAAAAAAATTAAAACAGAAACAATTAACAATAGCCTTCTAATAAAACAAAAAGTAACACTGTTTTAAAATTTAAAAACGATAGAGTCAATTCTTGAAATCAGAAAAAGAATAAACTTTATAATCATATACAAATTAACAATTTATAGAAATAAAAATTCCAAAAAAGACAAACTATGAAAAATACTTTAGTGTCTCTAGAAAAAGTCAACAAAAAATCAAATGTAACAGCTAATAATAACCAAGATAATATTTTATAAATAGCCCAAAGGTTTAAAATAATTTGTTGTATGAGAATGATTACATACCGGGACAGAATAGCCATTGGTGTTATTTCCAGAGACTTCTGAATCATAGTTAAAGCAAAACCAGGAGCTTCTTTCTCAATAATCAGTTTGGTGGCCTAAATAAATTTTTTAAATTATGAATGAAAAATTGTTTCCATTAGACAATTTATAAATTAATGAAAACAGAGATAATTTAAAAAATTACAATGTATGTTATCAATACTTGACAAGATATACGGAATATACTTTGTTAACATTTTAATGTTTAGCCTTATCATTTTCATTATATGAATGGAGGTTACATTTTTAATAAAAGGCAAATTTTAGAAAAAAACAGAATAATGAAAGGAAACAAAATGAGTAACATTACAAAGCAAGATTGAAGATTCAAGCCCTTTGACAATAGATCTTTAGTTTCAACAATTATAATATTTTAAAAACTTATAAAGAAGTTGAAATGAGAATCATTCTCAGATTTGTACAGGTATGACGAAGAAAGAAATAAAAATAAAGTTCCAGTGAGAATAAATATACATAAACTAATATAATATTCATAATAAAATTTTAATAAGTATTTCAATAATAGTTTACAAGAAATGCCTTCAAGATTTCCCAGTAACAGACCTAGCAATTGATTCATTCCACTTCATATCAGAGGAAAACATTATCCTAAGAAGGTGCAATGAGTCACTCTCCTGGAAGTTAGTATCAGCCCTGGTGATGGTCAGATATCAATTTGACCTTATTGAACTGATCAGGATTAAATAGTTGTGTCATCAGTATAGATACAGAGTTGAGAATTGATGACATCAGGAAGGTCATTGATGAAAATTAAGTCCAAGGATAGATGAGCCCCAAGGCTGAGAACATCTGAATTAATGCAAGAAGATCGAGAAGAGTGGTTGTTCAAAACAACTTTTATTTTGTGATTTGATTGAATCAGTTCAAAAATTAATCCAGAAATTAAATATCATAATCTTTCAACAGGTTTTCCTTAAATAAGGGCTCACAGGAAATAATGCAATTTTATCAAGTGTTACCACAAGGATAACATAATGCTTCAATGTTGTAAAATCTATTAACTTTCTTCTTTACAATGTTAACTTTTTTTTTTATTAAATATTTAATCTCTTCATCTTAGGGCTTTTGTAAGTCTAATCTCATCACAAAAGTACAAAAAAATAAAAAATAAAATCTAAACTCACCTCTGGTGTAACATCACGATGTGCAAAACCTGTTCCTCCAGTGGTTAAAATTATGTCAAGTCGTAAATTATCACACCAATCTTTGAGAATGTCCTACAGATTAAAAACATTAATTAGTGCATTAATTAATGCACAAGCATTAAAAAATACAATTTAATTTAGTATTGATATTACTGAATTTTTAAGAATATACTAGACAACTTGTAAAACCATCAAACAAATACATTTTAATGAATGTCATCATAATCAGAAAGAGTCAGTCAACAAAGAGTTGATTAATGAAGATTTTAATATGTTTTTCTCAATTACAAATGTTTTGATTAAGTATTTTTGTTACTTTTATTTAAATGTTTTAACAGATTATTTTTTAAATTTGACTAGACTTGACTAGATTGGAATAGCTTCAAATGAGACTTGAATTTACATCTTATACTTAGGGAGTTCCTCTTTCCCAAATGACAATAGCTTTAACTGAAGCTACTGTTTCACTTTGATTTCTTGTACTTCAACAACCAAAGAATCGATTAAGTATTTTGTAATAAAAAGCTACAAATATAGACAAACAAACTGAAATAGTTATCATTTTATACTGTATCGGCAATTTCTTCAAAATATAGATTTACTTTAAGGGTCTAAAAGGTATATTGTGTACCATCTTTAAAATTGGAAACTGAGAGAGTAAAAAGAATTTTGGTATTTAGATTACTGGGTAAACTATATTTTGAAACTTTGAAGGTAATAGTTTGTATAAATTGCATATTTCATATAAACATTGTATGGGTTGTTGTATATTTGTTTTTTAGACTGATGCTTTGTTTTTAAGCTTGTGCAAGGGATTTTGGTGCTTGGTGGGTTTAAGTCAGTAACTGGTAATTGGTAGTTTATAAGCAATGCAGACAATGTCCTAGTGAGAACAAACAGGCTAAAACACAAGTCAGAATAGGACTCCATACATGGGCAGTTTTGGTAATCATCATTAGTCCACATAAAATTGTTATCAGTCAATGTAACAATTATAGCAAATATCTATGGTCAGCAGTGAATATTTAAATACTGATTTGAAAGATACCTAGATTGATCATTTGCAAAGATGTGATTTTGTCAAGTTACTAGATTACAAAAATCCCATCTAAAAAGACTGAAAACCTTGAATAGGAAAAATTCCCCAAATTTAAGGTGGGGAGGAGTCTATATAAACAAAGAGCCCACCACATGGAGAGAGTCCCAGGAGTTGGCTTAAGTTATTGGGATTGAACTGTAAGACAAATGTCGCTAAAGAACACACCCACAATTCCCATGGCTGGAGTGAAAACAGAGACGCATAACAGAAGAAATGAGTAAGAGTCTACTGGCTGGTTATTACTTTAACATTTTCTATTAGATTTCTCAAATCACCATCCAGCAGTAGAGAACTTGATTTTGCAGTAAATAAAAGAGACATTTTATTCACCAGATTTTCTTTATCTTACTTACACCCAAAACCCAAGTTGTGTGTGTCTGTTCGTTTATATATGGGATTGGATTTCCTACATTTTTCAACAAAACTTCACAGAACTACGTAAAATTACCCGGCAGTGGTTCTGACAGCGCCAAAAATTGGAAAAACACAATTGTTTTTGCACGAAATCAATTTGAAAGCACGGGTAAGGGCCATTTATCCAGATTTTTTGCAGTCTTTGGACGATGTTTTCTTACCGAGCCACCAAAACAAACCAAATGGTCCAGTTTCTGATAGCACTAACGCTTGGCTATCTAACAAGTACCAAATTGTTTGCAAGACTGTCAAAGCCGCTTGAACAGGGAACCATAAACGGGGGTACCAAGGGACAGGATTTAGCCCTCTGAACACACATTCTCTGGCACAGTATGTACAGTTTTGGTTTGATTCAAATGAAATTTATGACACATTTGTGGCTTACTATTGCCTTTATGTGTGTCAAATTTTGGCAAAAATAACCGTAGCTGCACGCAGATCAATCTTATTTGTAACTTCCTTACACACACACACACACACACAGATGCGAAGAACAGAGTCTGCGTGTCGATACCGAGACTGCTGCAAGCCCATTGGTCGCTTTCACAGAGCTTGACCTTGGGGCCTGTCCGATCATCGCACAGGATTTCTCACACGTTATAGCACCCGAGTGATCGCGTGTCAGCTTATATGTAAGTCCGTTCAAGGTCAACGACCTCTATTGCGTGACTCGAGCGTGCTTTCACACTTTTGCGTTTATTGTTGCCCACGTGCACGAACTTGGCTTACTTTATTCGCCTACTTTGGACACCGCAAGTTGTTGATTACGTGTTCTAGCTCCTTTTTTGTTTTATAGTTGCAACCAAACCCCACACACATTAGTCAATCGTACTAAAACCCCATTTCCTTTTGGATTTATCCTTGGTTTACCTTTTTAAATTTCCACTTTTTTAGTTTCGAGTTCCCCTTTAGTAACATCTGAACTCATTTTACTGGGTGTTCCTCTTTTTGTGTCTACGTTAGCAGTGCACATTTTTTTGTTTTGAATTTGTCAAAATCTCTTTTTAAGCTTTACCCTCTTTGACGTTTTTACTGTTTGGATGCCACCTAAAAGGAGGAAACTTTTGGGATGGCGCATGGCAGTGAAACCCCTGAACAGACTTCCTTGCATCTTTCACGGATGGCCTCGAGCTCAGCTGCTCACTTATCTATGGAAAGGGCCGCTGCGCGGACTGAAAGGTTGGCTTCAGCGGCTTCAACCATGTCTACACACCGCGCCAGGCTTTCAGTTGAAGAATGTTCACTTCAGAATTCACAGGACGCAGTCTGCATGGCTAGGTTGAGGGCTTCACAGTCACCAGCACAGAAAACCCTTCGTCGTTTGCGGGATGCCACTGCCAAAGCTTGCTCCAGGGGTTTAGGTGGTCGATTACGTGGCTGGACGCTACCTCAGCAGTAGCGAGGCCTATTGGCGAATTTTCGGATTCCCCATACATCGAAGGGCTCCAGCCATTGTGCAGCTTGCTGTTCACTTAGAAAATGGACAGAGGATGTACTTCACCGAACAAAACGCCCAGCAAGTTGCAGAAAACCCTAAAGACACAACCCTAACGGCTTTCTTTAAATTATGCTCAACAGATGCTTTTGCCAAAACATTGCTATACCCCCAAGTCCCGTCCTACTACGTGTGGTCAAACAACCGGTGGGTTTGGTGAAAGGTTGGCAACCCTGTCGAGGGTTATCCCGATGTAAGGTCTAACTCTTGCCTTGGATGCGTTTATACTGTGCCCCCCAGCCAGCAGAAGTGCTTTTACCTCCGCCTTCTACTTCATGAAATTGCTGGGCCAACGAGTTTCACAGATATTTGCACTGTCAACGGCATAGAGTGCCAGTCTTATAGAGAGGCATGCTTCCGTTTGAGATTGCTTGAAGACGACTCCCAATGGGATGCAGCCATGGCGGAGGGTGAATTTCTCACGGCTTCGAACGCTGTTCACCATTTTGCTTTTGCGATGCAAACTAAGCAATCCTCTGTTAAAGTACAGAGAATCCATGTCAGAGGATGTGCTGTTCTCCGTTCAGAGTAACAGCCCAGGAGTTGAATGCGGTTTCACTGACTTCATATTCAACAGAGCGCTGCTGGTCCTAGAAGATGTTGTTTTCGAACTGGGAGGTGCCTCTTTACCAACTTACGGTTTACCACCACCGCTCAGAGATGGTTTTCACACTGTACTGCGGGAAACATCAACCTCCATCGAGGGGCTGAATGCATACATTACCGAAAACAAGCCCAAACTTCTACCTGATCAGAGGGTTGCTTTCACTACCATAACAGACAGGGCAAACGGCTCCAGTGAAGGTATATACTTTTTTAGATGCGCCCGTAGGAGCTGGCAAAACATTTGTTACTAAATTAGTCCTGGCAGAGGTACGGTGTTGTGGGGAGATCACTATTGCGGTTGCATCTTCCGGGATAGCTGCAACGTTGCTACTGGGAGGTAGAACCGCTCATTCGGCTTTTAGGTTGCCGCATGATCTATGCTGGTCACAAACTCCTCTCTGCAACATAACAAAGAATTCGCCACAGGCTGAAGTTCTGCGGAGATGCAAACTTATAGTTTGGGATGAGTGCACGATGACACACAATGGCGCCCTTGAGGCACTTGACCAAAGTCTCCAAGACATACGCAACTCCTCCAACCACATGGGTGGAGTAACCCTCTTAGGGAGGGGAAAATGCCATCTGACACACAGGGTTTTGTGCAGATGGATCAGCTTGCCACCACTGTTGAATCACCGGATGAACTGATGAATGCAGTCTTCTACAACCTATACAATAATTTTGCCAATACCGATTGGCTTGCTGGGAGGGCCATATTGGCACCGAAGAACTGTGCAGTTGATTCCAACAACCTTAAACTGTTTGATTGCATTCCCGAGCAATGTTATGTTTATAAGTCCATCGACAGAACTTCCGATACATCTGAATTAGCTGAGTATCCCATAGAAGTTTTGAACTCCCTTCAGCCGTCCGGACTCCCACCTCATATTCTTTGGCTCAAAGTTGGTGCTCCGATTATGCTAATCAGGAATTTGCTCCCACCTAAACAGTGCAACAGGACTCGCCTCATTATTAAATCCCTTTCTCTGAACCTGATTGAGGCGACCATTGCAACTAATGCAACAAGGGGAAGTCATTCTGATTCCCAGGATGCATCTTCTGCCGTCAGAGCGCAAGCATACCAATCAACTTTTCGTTGCTCACAATTTCCCATGAAGCTTTGCTTTGCTATGTCCATTAACAAATCACAAGGACAGATGCTTAGCATCGCAGGTCTGCATTTATGTGAGCAGTGCTTCTCTCATGGCCAACTTTATGTTGGGTGCTCATGAGTTGGGTCTAAGGACAGGGTTTTCATTTACTCTCCCAACAACTGTGCTAGAAACATAACCTACACAGAGGTCCTGTAGACAACCCGCCCAGTAGCGTTTAAGCGCCATGCACACATATGCAGTCCGATTGCATGGCAATTTTTTTGTTTGTCATATTGGTTTTAATGTTAGGTCGTCGTAGTCTCCACTTGACATTACTAAGACATTTTTGTAAAGGTTATCCAGCTCTTTTGCTGCCGTCTGACTTTCATACCTTCACCCGCCATCATCGCGTTTGTTTGTACACTATGATAACCTCACCTCACTTCAGTTGCAACACAAGCTGCTAGACACATGAACACTGGCATTAGACATGATTGCTCCACTAAAATTCCGGTTTCATTAACAGTTGATCGGAGCACCTGCAGTTCATACCAGTGCATACAAGCACATTCACACTTGAGAAGCTTGAGTTTGTTTAATTGTCACAAAAGTCGAAAAGTCTCTAAATTCAGGCTTCTGCTTCCATATACACTTTACGGCTGCCATGGTGAAACATGTCAGCCATACAGCTCTATTGTTTTGTTTGAGGTCGTGTAAAAAACCTAAAAACACATACCGAGTACGGCGACCCCGGTCAGTTTTCATAAGCTCTCAGCCCGTGATGTTGACTGCGACTGAAGAGAAGGCACTTCTCCATTGCAATTACGATGCTTTCGGCCCTTACGGCTACCCCCCATTGCGGTTTTAAGGGCTCTCAGCCATGATGTAGATAGTGACAGATCAGAATAAAGGAAGTTATATCACAGAAATTTTCTTACCATGACACCTCATCACTGTTCGCTCTTCTCTCGGTCTTGCGATTCTGCTTTGTGGTCGTGGCAGCGCCGTCTTTTGGGCATAAGACGTGTCTTTTAGTTAGACAAGCAATTTGTTCGTGATTGCGCACAGCACATACTTTATGTCTATGGCTTCCTCACGGCACATTTTCTCTTCAATTCCTATGTATGTTGCAACTGAATTGTGGTTTCTTGACTACTTACCACAAGTGCTTCCAGTAATGCTTAACAGTCCAATTGGTTAAAGCAGTAACTGCTGCCAGCTTTTACTCACAGATGTCTTAGTAATGGCAAATGACTAATGATACAACGGCTTTTCCTTACTTCCTTCGATACCTTCAAATACTTGGGCCTGCATGATGTCTGCTTAAACTTTGTGTGCATTGCGTTTCAACGTTTTGTAGAAACTTAGTTCCTGTCGACTTAAAAAGCACATCATTCAAAGCAACAGCCGTCCCCAACTCTTACTGTTACATCCCCGGGCAACGCCGGGCTCTACTGCTAGTATTCAATAAACCTGTTGTTAGAGCTATCAAGAGTATCATGCATTTTATTGAAGGAGTTCTTATTCTATCCCTGATTCCCATAGTTGTACCTGGATGCAAAGAGACAAAAGTCACTATGGGCACAGACAGGAATTACACAATCTTGTCTGTGGTACACAATGTCCATAGATGGGCCACATTAGATTTTTCTGTCAATCCCTAATATCGTAAGATTTTGGGAAATCTGAATCAACCCTATCAAGATGATACCTCAGCCCCAACTGAGGAAGGAAAGAAAGGTTAGTATTACTCAACAAAGCTAGTGGAAGTAGTGACTGAGGAAGAAGAGAAGAAGAAATGGAAGAGAAGTGTAATTAGAATGTGTGTTACACAAAGAGGTTAAAACTATCATCTTTGCAGTTTTTCCTTTAAAGTTTTTATAAATTTTTTTTTATCAAGATTAGTTAATGGTAATGTTTACTCTAAATTTGGACATTGCTAATTGAATGACTTGATAAAAAAGACAAGACTTAAGATTTGAGATCTTGACAGTGAACACATTTAAAGATATTCCCAAATTAAAAATATGTATACCAAACCATATCAGATACATCATAACATACCTCAGACAGAAGATAGAAAACAAATAGACTATGGCAAATTATAACATAATAGCTGAATTACCTATGCCCTATTACGTGTCATACATTTTTTTGTAAGAAAATGATTGATTTTAAATCATTGTTATGATTTGTGGAGAAAAGGATGCATTTCAATATTATTCAATGATCTTGCTGATGTGACCTCCATCTTCTGGAGGAAATGACTCCTATCCAAAATAAGGAGAACCTGTCTTTAAACTTCACGGAGGACGAATATTTTCTGTGAAAATTTCTCGGACATTCAGGCCAGTAAACGTTGTTTAATACTGTTTATTATAAACAGAGCATTTGCTTAAATATTTGTATCTATAAAAAGAATGTATAAACATAAAATGTCTTAAAATGAAATGTCGGACTTTGTCCATTTCATATATATATATATATATATATATATATATATATATATATATATATAGAGAGAGAGAGAGAGAGAGATGTATGCAAATAATTGTAATATTAATTTAAAAAATTAATATGAAATATTAGTAAAATCAGAAAAACAAGATAAATGAAAAGTCAATGACAACTACTTACCTTAATCTGATGTAATTCATCAGGAACAACTTGTTGTACTTCAACAACACCAGGTATGCTATTAACAAAAAAAAAGTGTAATATATGATAATGTCAAGTTGAAATATTTAAACTTAGAAACAACAAACAGCCAACAACATAGTCAAATATATATGACTTTTAATCAAATCAATTATTCATTTCTTCTTTCATTTGTGACTCTACAAGCAGTATTCTGTTTTTCATCATATTTTTCTATCAAGCAATCGTTCTCACCTAGCAATTTATTTCTGCATACATTTTTATATTAATAACTCTTAAAAATATTTTTTTAAATTAATTTTTCATATGTATGAAATAGGTAAACATTTTATTTTTATTTGCAAAATTATCCTATGTACTCTGCTTTCAATTAATGTGTAAAATATGAATGAATTGTATAAAAAAATAATAAATAAATTAAAGAATTAAAAACTAACTCAATATTTCCAACGTAAAACTATCTTAAATTTTCAAAAGTATTGTGTGATTGAAGGTCTTTGCATCAAACCAGGATGAATAGATCCTCCAAGATATCATCTCTATTTTTGTAACATGCTACATTCAGGCTAATTTGATAAATTTCTGGTTGAATTTCAGATGTGTGTGTATATATATATATATATATATATATATATATATATATAGAGAGAGAGAGAGAGAGAGATATAGAGATAGATAGACAGATAGATACACCTAGTAAGCCAGACAAACCTACCTAGGTTTCACCTAAACGGATCACCAGGGAAAGTCAAGCTACCATGTGGTTTGTGGTTTTTTTGGTCATGTGGTATGATTTTAGCTATCGCCTATAAATATGTGTTTCTCTTTGCCTCGTTAGCTTGACTTTCCCCTGACGATCCGTTTAAGTGAAACCTAGGTAGGTTTGTCTGGCTCACTAGGTGTATCTAGGTCTGCTCTACGGTTGTATTGAGCACTTTGTTAGTTAGTTGTTTACTCGTATCGGGTTTTTTTCTTTGGGCTTCAGACCTGTATTTGTGCAATTTTTTGTCGACAGAAGTTCATGTTTGTAGCTCTTTCTTTTTTTAAAACCTTTTTTTCCCCTCGAGATTGATTTGATTAGCAAATCAAAAATTCAAGGGTTTTTCGAAACGAGTCTAGTTATATATATATATATATATATATATATTACACACACACACACAAACACAGTGATGTGAAACAAGTATTTGGACAGTAAAAAAAAATGGATTTAGAATTCATATATTGAAAGAAAAGCATTGTCTAAAGCTCACAATATATTTGTAAAACAATTATAAATGCAAATAAACAGCAAAAATAAATTATTTGACACGTATATATATTTTATATACAAATTATTAAAACAGATAGTGAAAAAAGTATTTGGACAGTTCCGAAATTATGTTTTAAATTAATGTTTTGAGTATATTTCATGCTTGAATATGTTAGAATTTTATGTAATAGTCTAGAACGTGCATTACTTAAAGGTGTTAGCTATCTTGATGGTCAGTTCATCCCAAGACATCACACTAACAGTACTGCAGGATGCCAAAGCAAAGAGAGCTGTCGAAAGATCTTAAAGATCGAATTATTTCTGCACATGAAGAAAAAAAAGCTATCGTAAGATTTCTAAAGACCTATGTTTACCTGTGAGCACTGTTGGGTACAGAATTAAGAAATGGAAAGCCTTTGGTACTCATGAAAATATGCCAAGAACAGGTGCACCACGCAAAATATCACAAAAATGTTCACGGAAAATAGCACGGCAAGTAAAAAAATGACCCTTTTGTGACTCAGAGTGAACTTCAAAAAGATCTCAGCAATGCAGGAACTCATGTATGCAAGAGGACCATAAGTTCTGAACTTCACCGACAACAATTAAAATCTCACTCTCCTAGCAAAACCCCATTGCTAAAAAAAAACATCATTTAAAATCCAGACTTGATTTGCCAAAACTAATTTACAAAAGAATGATGACTATTATAAGCAAATTTTATGATCTGATGAAAGCAAGATTGAACTTGATGGCCTCAATGATGCTACCCATGTTTGGAGAAAGGATGGAACAGCCTTCAATCAAAAAAACACCATCCCCACTGTGAAGCACGGAGGCGGTAGCATTATGGTTTGGGGATGCTTTGCATATAATGGTATGGGACAACTGAAAATTATTGAGGGCACAATGAATGCAGCCAAATATATTCAGATTTTAGAAGATTGCTTGCAGCCATCAGTTGAGAAATTAGAACTTGGACCAGATTGGGTTTTTCAATAGAACAATGATGTGAAACATACAGCCAAAGCAACACGTGCATGGTTTCAAAACAATAACATCAGACTGAGAGCTGTGGTTACAAATGAAGGAGGACCAACTAAATATTAAACACATTTAAAGCATAATTTATATTCTGTCCAAATACTTTTTTCACTACCTGTTTTAATAATTTTGTGCCCTCAATAATTTGTATATAAAATATATATACATGTCAAATAATTTATTTTTGCTGTTTATTTGCATTTATAATTGTTTTACGAATATATTGTGGGCTTTAGACAATGCTTTCTTTCAATATATGATTCTAAATCCATTTTTTTTTACTGTCCAAATACTTTTTTTACCTCACTGTATATATATGCCTCATCAGTTGTAGTTGAGATCATAGAACCCATAATTCTGCACCACAATTAACTGTGAATTCCAAAATCTTCTTTATGGTTGTACAGTATATGCCTCATCAGGGTTATATACAGTTTTGAATTCAGGGTTGTCATTCTCCTAAATTGGTTATCAACCACAGCTAGAGAGCCTAGTCTGCCCTGCTAATTTAATCCATAGCTGGAGGTGGAAGAAATGGATCCGTACCTTTAACAAGTGTATTTGTGCAAAAGTGAATGCAACAAACTTGACTGGAACTCAGCTCATCGATATCGCATTCCAAATTCAAAGCTTCTAACCATTACACTATATATATATATATATATATATATATATATATATATATATATATATATATTTATGAATAAAAATGACAATAAAAAAACTGGTAATTGCTGACGCGTTTAGGTCCAATGTGGGACGCCACATCAATTACCAGTTTTCCTATTGTCATTTTTATTCATAAATATTGTCTTCTCTACTGGTTAAATCAGAGAAATTTTCATATATATATGTGTGTGTGTGTGTGTGTGTGTGTGTGTGTGTGTGCAGTTCAATTTATATTACATTACAATGAATCATTCATACAAAAAGTAAATTAGTAAAGTTAATGATATAAAATTGTAAAATCCCTTCACTAACAAAATTTTAAAAATGCATAAACCCACTACTCACTCAATGAATGATATGATCCTTGTTTTTTAAAATTATAAGCTGTATAAGGTCTTTCTTAAAAATGCAAGTACTTTTGACTGTACATTCAGTCATCTTCAGGCATGGAAATTATTTTGTTTTTGGTAAAATTCAGGTAGTGTCTGAGACGAAAAATATAATGCGAATCGAATTGTTTTTTTTAAATGTGTTATTGATAATGGATACAAACTTTTAGAGCGTGCAGTCACAACAATAAGGTTGAATTTTTTTTTTAAATTTAAGTGAGTGCGTTTTTTTACTAATATAGCAATTTGAGAATTTTTTTTGTTGTTGTAGAAGTTTAAACAATCTACCCTCATGGACTAAACAAAGGGTTTGGTTTAAAATAAGAATCTAAATTAACTAAAATGAGAACAACAGTTAAAAAAATACATTTACGTCCTATGAGGATAATTCTTCATCTTGAAAATTTAAATAGGAATTATAATTTAGGAGTTTTGAAAAACTTTTCTTAAACCATCAAATAATAAACACTACACGATAAGTAAAACTTCCATAAAACAAAAGAGAATGTATTTTTATTTAATATAATACTCACATCTGTTGCTCATCAATGAGGGACCGCAGGTTATTTCCACTCTTGTCATGGGCCTTTTTTGTGAAACAGCTGTCACTGACTGAAAATGGAGAAAATTGTAACAACAGCACAGACAATAGAACTGTTGTGATAACCTACATTTGTAAAAGTAAATATTTCACAATTAACATTATGATAGAAAACAAAGACAAAAAGAAATTTTCAATGTTATACTATAATGTACAATGAGCAATATACAAAAGGCTAATACAAGGTAACCAAAAAAGTTCTGTCCGTTTTTTGATTAGTCATTGAATGAAGTTGAAATATATACGAAATGCGTGTAGCAATTGTTTTCAAATCCTGACAACCGGAAGTAGGAACATCAGACATTATAAAAAACACACGCACCGTGCCCGGCCATCAGTTATAAGCCAGACAGCTGTGATAAGGATGGAAGTGTCTAGAAATCTCGTTCGGGGCTGTTTGCTTTACGACTTCAAAATGGGCTTATCAGCAGCTGCATCAAGTCGCCGCATATGTCAAGTGTTTGGGGATATTGCTGTGGATGAACATACTGCAAGGTGTTGGTTTTGAAAATTCAAGTCAGGAGATTTGTCTCCCCATGATGAGCCTCGCAGTGGACAACCACAGGTCTTGAATGACGGAGTCCTGAAGGCGGCCATTGAAGAGGACAGTAGTCTAACATGTGGTGAACTTGCAAAACAGTTCAACGTTTCCGATGAAACAGATAAACTTCATCTGCACTGCCTAGGTAAGACGTACAAACTGAGCAAGTGGGTTTCTCAAACGCTGTTGGAGGTCCACAAGGGACAACGAGTAGCAGCCTGTGTATAGCTGCTTTCTCGCCACCATACTGCATCCTTATTCAATTGAGTGCTTACCAGTGATGAAAAGTGGGTTCTGTATGAAACTCCCAAGCGTTTCAGACATTGGTTGTCTCCTCAGGATGCTGTCCCTCACACCGCAAGACCACCTATGCACCCACACAAGATTATGCTTTGTGTCTGGTGGACAGGTCGTCAAGTGGTTCATAATAACTGCTACCAACGGGCTAAACGGTCACTGGAGACCTATACTCACAGCAATTGAAACGTGTGTAATAGGCATTGCGCCAGAAGGAGCCAGCACTGGTGAATCACAAAGGTGTGCTTTTCCTCCATAGCAAACCTGACTTGACTTTATTTAAGTTCAATGGCACTATAGGAAACCTCAAATAGCTGTGTGGGAATATATTTAGTGATGCCTGTACGGCAAGATAAGATTTACAGACCTATCTATGGACAAGTTCTGGATTTCTGTGAAAGAAGAGTTTCTTACTATTCATAGGAAAGCAATTATTGTTGCTTGTTTTCAACATCTTCTTACTATGTGAGCAAGCCTTTTCTTATTTAACAGGTATCAAGAGCAAAGACAGAAATCGTCTCCTCTCAATTGAGAATGAAATCCGTGTGTTTATCTAAAGTTCGACGTCAAATCAAATATTAGCAAAAAAAGACAGGCACAGAGAAGCATGTTTCAAATGGCTTTGCTGAAAATAACATTTTCTTAGCCCATTTATTGGTTCACGGGACATTTTGCCTTTGTCTTTTCATTCAATATTACCAGTTAAAGAATAAAAAAAAATAAAAACCTGGTGCAGTAATTATCTGTTTTTGTTCTGTTTACATTTATGATATTGGTTACTTATGTTTATTTTTTATATTTGAGTTTAGAAATATTTTGTGTGAATGAAAACACCCTGAAGTAAACAAACAGTATGAATTTTATTTTTATCATTGCCGAAAAATTTGACAAAGAAGTATTTATTAATATTTCCTTAAACTAGTTATTCAAAAATACCACGTGAACTACGATGAAAATAAAATGAAACAAATATGGTATATAATTTTGTTTTTGCACAGGGGTTCCTTGAGACATGTAATTTAAGGGTTACACAAGGATAAAAAGGTTGAGAAATGATGGCGTAGACATTTCATTTGAATTTTGCATCCAATCTCTAAGTAAGTATGTCTTAATGTTGAAATAAAATTTTATGACCGAATATCGAAATTTAACATTTATGTTGTTGTTGAATGTTAAGATTTGTCATCCTTCAGTCCTTGAACCTTAAAATTTAGCAGGTTTTAGTCTCCGGGTAACATTCTTCAGTGAATGCATATGATAGGAAAGAGAAAATAGAAGTTAGCCAAAAAAAATATTTTCCCATGCAAACTGAAATTTTTCTTAATTATTTCAGTTCTTAGAGAAACATATTTTACTGCATTTTCAGACGATATTTTTCATTTTATTTCATTTTTATTTTCTTATCAAAGTTCAAAATCATAACGAAGGCTTAGAACATAGAGTAAGTTTTTTTGTTTTTTTTTTAAATATGAATGTAAGGGAGGTAGAACAGTAGGTATGAAGAATTCGTTTGAAACGCTAAACTTAACATTACTCTCTGAGGTTAAGTAAAAAAGATCTAAGGGATGTAATTCAGCATTCTATTGTTTCGGATGTTAAATTTGAACATGCCTGATTTTCCCTTTAAAATATTCTTATAACGATTCTATTACTTCTAATTGCAAAATTTAATGCTTTTTAATATTTAAAAAAAAAAAAAACGAAACTAATCTTAAAATATCGTTATTTTTTTTATTTATTACGCTGAGTTGCGTTGAGCTTTCGAGTTAAACACACATCGGCAGACCAACGTTAATGAAGAATGCTGAACATTTTTCATTTCAATAACTTTTTTTTTATTATTCCGTAAAACCCATGGAAGTATTTTGCTGTTAAAAAATGATTATGTCAGTTATTTTTGTTTTTCTAAAATGGATAGACAGTTACATTACGAATTAATTAGATCACTCTCTGTCAAGTTCCCCCCAAAAAAAGGAAAAAAGATTAACATTTAACAATATTTAATAACTTAATGATTTCATGAAAAAAAACTTGGTCTACAAAGAGAAATAGATAATTAAATTCAAGACAATGGATCCGTGTTTAAAATTTGTTTCTTGCCAATATTAATGAGTAATGATAACCTTTGCAAAAGGTGAACATTATTTTTTCTCAATGTTTTATTTTTATATTTAAAAAAAATGTAAATTTTAAAGTTTTCGGGCTAAATCCCACTCGCCTTTTTTGAACTTTTTTTATTGTCTTCAAGAGAATGTGCTATGAAAAAAGTTATTTACAAACAATAAGTTAAACTTTTTCTTTAATTATATTTTCAACAATTTTACCAAATGCTATTATTTTAACTATTTTTCAAAATATCCTTACGGAGAAAAACTTTAATCATTAAAAAAAAATAAAAAGTACAGTTAAACATTTTTTTACAAGCCGCCAAAAATGTTGCGTATGCTAAAAAGTAAAAAAAAAAAAGCATTCAATGATTCTTGAAGACAATTTTTTTACTTTTAACATTTAGAATGTAGATATTTCGTATAGTTAATAAAATTATGACCTCCAAAATATTTACGAAAGATTTTTGAATGTTTTGTTAATGTAATCCATGCATTTTTTTAATTTTAACTAAAAAATAAAACTGCCAAACAAATTATTTACAAAAACAGCCATCAGTCTTTTTAGTTTTACAAAAATTATTACCAAAATAGTTTTAATAAAACACAGACTTTGTTGCAATACTAGAGAGAGAGATAAAGAAAAATGACGAGATGACCTGTAAGTAATCCCACTGTAATTCTTTGTCGCTGAAGATCCAGTCTGCTATTCTCGGCCGCCATCATTTCTCTTTCTATGAAAACGGAAATCTTCCTTTCTTTTCTCTATTTTTTTTTTTTTTTTTTTTTTGTAAATTATAAACTTATCTCAGAATCATTTCTTGACTCACAGGAGGAGAAAATAACTTCATCGCTTTTTTGTTCCCACCCAAAATTATGAAAAAGATACATCGACTTTAATTATTATTACTTTTTTAAATTCCTCACGTTAGTTTTTGAACTTATTACTTGACTCATATCGAGAATTCTTTTTATTTTACAGAAAATAACATAAAATAAACCTTTTTTAAACAATCAGAAAATAGAACAAATACAGATGCGCAACTAATAAGAGGTGAAAGATTTTTTTAAAATCTACTTGTCCTTTGAATTTGCAATATGAAGTATCGTAAAAAAAAAAAAGTTGTTTTTTATATACAGCAAGCAAGGGTTACTTGATTTATGATTTTAAAATTGAAATCTAATTGAATAATTGTAAAATCAAAAAAACTCAAATAAAAATCGCATATAAAGGTCATTCAGTTTTCATAAAGAAATATTTTGATATATATTGGTACTCTAAGTGTAGTGTAACATAACAAAAACATTCTCCCCACTGTTTTTCACTAAAAATAACTTTGTTTCATTGGAACAAATTTTTTGCTAAGGTTTTTTTGTCATATCCAAAATTGTCAACCAAGACATTAATTAATCACTTAAATTAACTAACTTTATCTTTTCATTTATAAAGAAAGACTACTTAAAAGTAAAACTTTCTCGTCAATTTAAAACCTACATCTTTGTTGAGACTTGTTGATTTTTTTAGGGCAAGCAAGAGGAATAGAGGAAAGCTGCTAGCTAGAGCTACCGTATATGTCGGCGTACAAGGCGATTTTTTAATCTTAACCAAAAAAAATAGGGAGCCGTCTTATACTCCAGTTATAAAATGTAAACCTTAAATTCTGGGGTTTAAGTTGTTAGCAAGGGATACTTTTTGACGGTAAAAAAACTCCTGCCTTGGTAACTATCGACACAAATATTTTCTACTGAAACAACTTAATTTACATAAAAAAAAGTGACATTGTGTTTAGAGATAGAGAGAAATAGGGTTTTAACTTATTCAACGGCAAATTTTAACCCTTTTTATATCCCGGTATTTTTTTAAGTGACGTCACCAGTTTTTACGCCTACATCAGCTGATTGTGTTCATTATCGAGTAAACGGTAACTGAAGTGTACCGGGTAGATGGTAGTTAATTGACAATATTTCGCCTCCTTTTTTCGATGATGTTGAACAAAAACACAACTAGATGTGTGTATATCAACAAGCCGTTTTTAAAGATCGCATTCGAGAACAGTGGAACGAGCGGATAGTAAGCGGGGAAAAGTCATTCAGACTACCCGCCCGTGTAATAGCCTACCGAAAAAAAGTATATGCTTACTAAATTTATTTAATAAATTCAATATAATACGATTTGGTGGCGGTTATAGCCCAAAACCTACATTTTATTTTAATTTTTAACTTGAACATTTGGTGGTCGTCTTATACGCCAACATATATGCCGTATACGGTAATAACCAAAAGTCAAAACTTACTAAAATCTACAAAATACAGGAAATTGTAGAGAGCCATGATCTCCCATGCTTTGAAGGTATATGACACACAGAATGAGTGTGTGTCTATGTTTGTGGTATAAGGTAACATGAAATATATGATTAAGGAAAATTATTGTTAAAAGTTAAACCTTATTTACACTATTTACATGTGGACTGTTGTCATCATCTTTGTTGTTATCACATTTCAAACATTGTGCCCTCCAGCATTCATCAGTTGCAGACTGATTCAGGTAACCTATAGCAAATTCAGAACTGAAGCCTTTATTTAATCTATATAGGGGGACAGACTGTTCTCATTCCACTGCTCATGTCTAGGAGTATCTCGTTTAGTTCTTATTTTTTAACATTGCTCAATTATTGCTTGACCTGTTTCCACTGAGTCCAAGTACACGCTACCAGGGATTGAACTCACAATTACTATATCATCAAAATCATGAACCAACACTTTAATCCACTAGGCTAACAGCTTTTTTCTTCTACAATGAAAAAACTGAATATACAAGTCTAAGGCATAAAGCTGACGAAAGAAAAAAATAAACCTCTTAAAAAATAAATTGCTGAAAAAAATAAGTTGCCTTGTCTATCAGTAGATAGACTACTTTACAGGTAGCCAAACTGTCTAAATTTGGTTTGCCAAACTAAGACCATCAGCACCCATTAATTTGCATATGTATTTTTTGCTTTGTCTTGTATGCAAATTATATTACCTTGTTTATTTTTTCCTTTTTAAGTATTACTCTTTTTCTATTAATAAATCAACTATATAGCAGTCTTCAATGTAACTGAGGAAACAAAAATAGCATTTATTCTAGCCTCAACTAATTATGCATCAACAAAAACAACACATTCTCTTTGATCCAATATCAAAATCTATAGATATGATTTTAGTTAATATTAACCAAAATAAAATCCACAGATTTTGCTATTGGATCAAGGATAATGTGTTGCTCATAAAACTTTTTGCATGCATGTTAACTAATTATGTTCAGTTCCAGGGGGCCATTCCCTACCTAATCAGTAACTTTATATTGTACTAAGTTGAGAAGGACAAAAAGAGCTTGGTAATTTGTGTTGTCTCAAATCCAGTTCCACTTTAAAAACTTGGCTATGCACCATGAGTGATGTTAAATATTGCCACACATACATCACCCCATATTACATCACAGTATCCCTGGATATACACCCATACATTCAGAGAGTAAAATTTTTTCTTAAGCAACACACAATTGTCACATCTTGTTCATAAACTAATAGAGTTTATTGTTAAATACTAATTCACATATCCATCATGGTGTCAGAATTAATTGCTATGAGAGAAACAACTGTGTCAGAAATATTTGAATCAAGAAAGCAGTATTAATTTAAAAAAAAAAAAACAGAATGGAATTTTTACCATTACCAAAGCTGCTAAGTTTCAATGAAGAAAATTTCACAACTGTGTGGAAGTAGAAAAACAAATTCAACCTGTTCTTTTTTTCAACTGAAAAGAATAATAAACTAGGTAAAGTCAGCACTTTCATTTTACTAAAATGTATTGACTCCAAAGACAGAGAAATCTTTTCTACATTTATATTCGATTCACATGAACACAAAATTGATCTACAAGTAGTACTAGGCCAGTCCAATATGTAACTATAGAAAAAAATCAAACCAACTGAAGACACAAATCCTTATGCAAACAAACACAAAAATTCATTGATTATGTAATTGAACTATGACATAAAGCACAACAATGCATATTCAGAAACATCTATGATAGTCTTATAAAAGATATCTTGATATGCAGGATTAAAGACTTTAAGTTACAAGAACATTTTTTATGAGAACCAGATCTAACCCTAGTAAAAGCAATTCAAGCTCGACAAAGTAAAGAAGAACACAGAGACAAATAAAAATGTGAGCTGCATCCTCTGACAATCTGAATGTCAAAGTCTTGGCTGTACATAATAGCTTCTAGATAAAATTTGGTGGGAACAAATCAAAAGGCTTCCATGTTGGGACAGATAGTAAAAAGATCAAAAGGCGTTGGTTAGATCCAGTGACAGGACTCAAAGAGTGTGAGTTCAATACCTGGCACAGCTTGGAAATTGGAGAGGTGAATTAATAGGAGATAACTGACATCCATTAAAACATGGCACATGGAACTAAAACAGTCTTCCCCAGTGAGCAAAATAAAGGGCTCAGTTCGACATTCTAACCACCTGAAGAAAGCTGGAGCGTACAACGGCAGAAACGTTGTAATAAATATGGCGACAAAGATGAGGACAATAGTCCGAATAATGTAAGTAGTGTACATAATACCTCATCTCAGAAATAGAGACAGATACTGATCGCTATTTCTAGTCTATCCTCCATTACTCTTCAGATCGTCATTTCTGGTCTATCCTCTATTACTATACGGACCGCTATTTCTACTCTATCCTAAGTTATTATAAGCACCGCTATTCTATACTCTATTCACTATACTATTTCTCTATTCGTATCACCATTACTATTTGAGCGAATATTATCGAGTAAATACTATTAGTACAAGTGATATTCGAAGACGGCTGACACCAGTATTGTTTAACAGCGTCCTATAGTTGTATCAGTAATTACAAACTCTCTAATATACGAGCATTACGGAAGTGACAACGAGTATTCGTTGACATTTCAAAAGTGTCAACAAGTGTTCGTTGACATTACATAATTTATTTTGTAGTCATTTACTTATTTTGGGTGTCAGCTTGTTAAATGTTAATAAAATAGGAAAAGCAGGTAAGTTTGACTATCTCAGATATTTAATATAACCATATAAACTGGACGTTCATCTACAATTTTTAAACTGGTATAAAAAGACAAAAAAACCCTATATCTATCTTCTTGCCTCAAGTGTAAAGTGTATCAATGTCTGCGGCTTTTACCACTAACATAAACCAAGCCAATATCAATGATATATTCGGGTTCATGTTATTTCCTTTGACACCATGTCTCCATGACTTGATAACGGTTATATTTTTATTTTATGTTGGGTAATCACTAGAGTTCAAAGCTTTGAGGAAACCCCTGCAATTTTTTTAAAATTAGTCCCAAAAGTAGTTGTTTTTTTAATTAAATAAGAACACAAATTTTATACACTAGCAGGCTTTGCCTTCTCGCTATCGCTTCGCAAAGTAAGATATATTCACTACTTGAAATCTCAATTTCACATTCAGATTCCATAATATAGGTTTTACTTTATTAGCTAGTACGTTTCTCTAACTCTTCAAATGTTGAATGTATAACTAATTCTAATTTCTATTTTCCCATCTTTACACTATATTAATTTTATCTTATAAATTATTCCCTGTTCTGTCACCCATGAAATAAAAATAATTGTTCATACGGAAAATAAGGATCTACGTACATTAAATCTTCTTTAAATTAAGTGGC